GTGTTCTGGCAACTCTTTATGGACTTTGCTGGTACCAGGATTGAACAGTTCACATTTTATGGATTTGCTAATACTGTAGATAAAGGATAGGATATGGGTTGAAAGATCTCTGTTTAACTTTATAAGGTGTGAAGAGTTTTAAAATTTGTTTATATTTGAGATTAGGTAACTTCTTTACATATTTGTTTTCATTATAATCTTTCTTTGTGCTCTCTTTTTTCTTTTTTCTTCTCTTATCTTTCTGTAAGGTTAGCATTGTAATTAAAATTCTTAATAAAGACTATACTCAAAAAATAAGGTTGCAAATGATACAAATCATATATATATATATATATATATATATATATATATATATATATATATACGTATGTATGTATGTATGTATGTATGTATGTATTCAAATTAAAGGCTACTTAATATTTGATAGTATGTTTTCCCAATATTTTAATTAAAACATGCCACTAAATCTAAAATTTGTACTGCTTTCCATAAATCAGGATCTATGAGGAAAAGAAAAAAAAATACTTGATTTTTAAGTAATATTCTCTTCAAATTGCCCGTATTACTCTGTTTATTTTAATGTAATAACCTGCTTTTTTAATCACACAAAGCTAAAGAAAGTGCTATTGTATGTATTAGTACGTATTGGTATATATTGGTAATTTTCCAAGATAAATAATTACATAGTAGAATATAACTTGGGATGTATTTTTTTATTAGAGCTATGTTTCAGATCAGCATAAATTCTAAACTAAAGTGGATTGGGATTCATTTTTAAAGTAGCGTATTGAAGTAAAGTATTGATGATAAAATAGACAGCTCTAATTTGACTTGTTCCAATTTAAAATCTTGTATTCTGCCTTCATCATTTAGTTCAGGAGCTCTGATTCAAAGCCCTTTGGAACTTGTTTTTAGAAAGAAGACCATTATTTCTTTGTAGGGAAATGACAGAGAGTATAACTTCAAGGAGTGAGTGCTTTGAGAAGAATCACCATGTAATCAGATGATACTCAGTTATCAATGTCTTGAGTAGACACAAGGAGATTCTTTAGAGCAGTGGTTCTCAACCTGTGGGTCGTGACCCCTATTTGGGGTCAAACGACCATTTCACAGGGGTTGCCAAACAACGCACTCCACCATTTCCCCCCCTTTTCCTTAGCTGTGCTACTCCCTTTTATTCTATTGGCTTTTGAAAGCCAATAGAATAGACTCTCTTGAATAGAGTCTAATTCTATTGGCTTTCAAAAGCCAATAGGAATTGTCCAGGCTGTCTCTGCCCTGCTGAGCCCGCCAAAAGTCCCATTCTGCAAACGGTGCTGCAAGTTGTCTGCAGTGAAGGCGAGCTGTCTGGAAGTTTCTACCCCTCCCTGCTGAGCAACTACTAAAAATGTAAGTAAAAGAGGGCCAGGGATGGGAGGTGGGAGGCTGGCGGGCGCAGGGAGGGTTGCTGGCGCATGTTGGGCCCGGCGGGTGCCTTACCTCCCTTGGGCTGGGCCAGCTGGTGGCCCAGCCGGTGGTCACCCTGCGCCGTCGCTGCCCCTTGCCAGCTACGCCTCGGCCAGCGCAGGAGGCAGCACCACGCATGCGTGGTGCTCCCGGGCCGGAAACGTCCTCGACTTACGACTGGTTGGGTAGTCCTCAACTTATGACCGGTTGGGTAGTCCTCGACTTATGACCGGTTGAATAGTCCTCAACTTATGACCGGTTGGGGTCGCAGCATTAAAAAGGTTGAGAACACTGCTTTAGAGAGAATCCTTACGTTGACCATTTATTTAGCTCACAATTTTTTAATTTTTAATTTTAATTTTTAATTTTTAACCCACTGAAGATGTTTTGTTGCTGTTCTAGATATGTAGCTGGCTTAAAAATTATATTTTCTTTTACTTTTCCTCACCTTCAATTCCTCAGGGTGGTGCTTCCCAAATGTCTTCCTTTGTTATTCCAAACTGTTTATCTTGCATGCTAGATGATGAGAAAATGGAATATCATTTTTTTTGTTCTTCAATGTATAGATTTAGGATGAGTTGGAATGAATATATGGACTAATATTCTGGGCCAAGGATATAGCTGCAAAATGGTTTAGGAAACCTTCCTGGAGTTCTGTTTATGACCGTTGTTTGATAATTTATAATATCTGGAAATGTTGTCTCTCCGTGGGACATTGCTAGATACTCTCAGCATCTCTTGAGCTTGCAAAATCTAAAAATCATGTTGGTGATACCTTCAGGCAATTTTCCTTCAGAAAAAAGGTGCTATGTTTTTATAAAGGATTCACATTGTTACATATTAATTCAGCCCATTTCTTCACAGTTCTAAGTAACTGAATAAAAATTCCATTCCACCTATAATATCTATATTTTCAATGACAGCTGTATTCCTATCATCTCCATTTTTCTTACCTCTTTTGAAATTTGAATTATTTAATAGAGTTTATAGAGGCAAACTGAGGGAATTATTTAAAAAACAGTGCCTATTTATTTATCTCTAGCTTGTGCCAAAAATTAATAAATAGATAACTTGCAACCCTAATTAATCACAATTTTTGCTGATGGCAGGCAAGTTAATCAGTGTATGAAAGTTTAACTTAAAATTAAGTATTTTTTTAAATAACCCAATATTTATACTCATTTCAGTGTTCATAAAATAAGTAATAATTAACAATAAATTAATCTATTGATTCTATTTGTTTGAATTCTCTATTTGTTCTATTTGTGCAAGGAATTTTGGCTTGTTCCTTTTCTATTTTTAGACAATATTTGTGGGTTGTTATATGGATAAATGGAATGGAATGACAAATCTTGGAGTTTGAGAAAGCAAGATAGAAAGAGTATTGACACTTCTGAACTATGGTGCTGGAGAAGACTCCTGAGAATATCAACTAAGGTATTGGCCAATTAAAAAAACAAACAAATGGATTATCGAACAAACCAATCCAGAGTTTTTAACTGAGACACAAATGATTACTCAAATTATCAAAGCACTAGCTCTCTGGAGAAGACTCTAATACTAGGAAAGGTGGAGGGAAAGAAATCAATAGTAGGTGAATAGACTCAGTAACCTCAACAAATGTTGGAAGACTTGAATGACTAAGTTGGGGACAGACCATCATGGAGAAAATCTGTCTCTAAGAGTCAGCTTAGAGACAAAACCTCTAAACTGCCTCTATTTGCTAGGAGTCAACACCTCCTTGATAGCACATAACTAGTGAACCAATTACAATATGCATTCAATGTTTTGTTAATTTACTTAGTTAATTTACTTATTTATTTATTAAATTTATACACTATCCATCTTGCTGTCTTTTGAATAACCATTCTAATGTCTTTCATTTGTTTTAGTTTGTCTATAATTTTATTATTTCTCTTAATGGCGAACTCAATGGCCTCCTGAAGTAATGGCACAGAAAGATAAAAAAAAACAATTAATATACAAGTATTTGTATATTAGCTTGCCACAAATTTATCAGTTATTTTAATAGGTCTTAGGATGAGCTAAGAAATTTCCCACTGTATTTCCATATTAAAATCCTAGTAGTTATGTTTTTTTAAAAAAAATCACAGAAGACGACATTGGCAAATTACTTCAATATCATCCCTCCAAAACTGTATGCATGTGTTCATGTAAGCTCAGTCAAGATACTATCTTTCTCCTATGATTTTCTTGTTTCTATATTTCAATTTTCAATTTCTCCAATGGCATTTTTAAAATCCGAACTTGCACTCGCACTGCTAAATTGCTCTTTCAAGCATCTCAAGCTATTCACCAAATCATTTTCAGACATCTCATGAATGAAGAAGAGGCATTTCCTCATGTTCTTTTATTAGTTTGGGTTTCTTATTTGGCTAAATTATTGAGTTTTTACCTTTCTAACTTCTTAAACGTATTCTTCATCTCCATTCCAAAAAGAGAGCATAATAAGTGGACTATTAAAGCTTTCTTAATTTATTACAACCGAAGAAAAGAAGTTGCAAAGTATGGTTGAAATCTCTCTCAGTGCAACATATACCGTATTTATGTAACATGCTGCTCTGGATTGTGAAGTAGCTAATACCAAATAACTTGGCATCTAAGTTATTCTCTTAGGTCTTTCTATGATAATTGGTGATAGTTGCCATGGTTTTTAGAATCTGTTTTTCGTGTGGAATCAGATTAAATTCAGTGAAGTTATGTGCAACTTAAATATAACTTCTGTAGTATTTAACTATTGTAAGTTTCACTGAAACCTACTTTCAGTCAGGAAAGCTTACAGTTGTAAAGCTAGCTTTTGATGTAGTTACTTGGAAGTCAATTTCTATACTCAATTGGAATTAAAGTGGATTCTTAATCATTACTACCAGTTACTAAATCAATATTTTTGGCAGCTTTTATGACAGATATTATAGTCTTTAATAAACTGGATACTTTGGAGGAACAAGTTCACTCTTAGAATATGTGAGTATAAATGGCAGGTATAATTAGTTAAATTATGCTAGGAACATAATAATTTCCAGCCCCATCCTTAAATCCACACTTCAGTGGCAAAGATGTGAAAATCTAGAAAACCAACATAAGAAAATGTTCTCATTAATGGGTCCTTCAGTTATGCTGGCATATAATTGTTTAAGATGCTTAAGTTTTTTCCTTAAATTTTAAGGAAAAAATATTTTATCCAATAAAATGATTGTACCATAGTACAGAGGGTGCTAAGACAAAAGGTGAATTGAATGGTATGTGGCTATTAATGCAAATATTACTCAAATACTGTATACAGGTAGTCCTTGACTTGCAACTACAATGGAGACCAAAATGTCTATTGCTAAGCAAGACAGTTGTTTAGTGAGTTGTGCCCCATTTTTTAACTTTTTAGGCTGCTAAGTAAATTATATGGTTGTTAAGTGAATATGGCTTTTCCCATTGACTTTGCTTGTCAGAAGCCAGCTGGGAAGGTTACCAACGGTGATCACATGACCCCAGGACAGTGCAACTGTCACAAATACATGCCAGTTGCCAAGCGTCCAAATTTTGATCATGTGACCATGGGAATGCTGCAATGATTGTAAGCTGAAAACCAGTCCTAAGTCACTTTCTTCAGTGCTGTTGGTCACTAAACAAATGGTTATAAGCCGAAGACTACCTCTAATTGAATCCAAAACACTGCAGGGCATATCACTCAATTCTTAGTGTAGTGTTTATGTGGAAAATCAATTCGTATGTTGTGGGTACATTTTTATTGAAGGTTTTATTCCATCATAGATAATGTGAGCTAGCAATGGAAAAAGCAAAGGATGATGGATTATGGACCCAGGGCCAAATATGGCATGGATGCTACTTTCTTTTTCTTTGCTATGCCCCGTTATTTTATTTTATTTCTTTTTGGTCTTACCTTCTCCTGCTTTTTTTTTCCTCTTCACCTCTAAGGAATGACAAACTATTCTTTTTACAAAGCCAAAGAATTGATTGCTCAGAGAAAAGTTTGGAATTAGCTCAAGGGCAGCAAATTCAAATCGCCAACTTCTGATTTATCCCAAATGGCAAACCCGGAAACTATTAAGATCAAAGAAACCTGTACAACACAATCAAGGGAACAGTTAAACGACAACCAAGTTTCTTCTCTCTTTCATTCTTTTAGATATGCCAATGACCATACTCTTGATTTAGTATTAAAACTTTCAGCTCCCACTTTGGTTGGTTCTTCTCTTGAATATATACCCTACAGCAGAGGTCCCCAACTTTCTGAGGGAAAGGGAGGGACAGGGACCTTTATGCATGCATTTAAAAATGGGACCGGGAGCATACGAGCACCGCAAACAGGGCCGTGAGCAAGCGTACACCACAAACAGGATGTTAGTGTCCACATGATGCTTGGGACGATGCTAGTGCCCACACGATACAAACAGGGCCTCTAGTGTCTGTGTGAAGCTCCGGGCAACACTCACATGAGTGGGGGGTAGTCCGTGCACACATGCGAGTGCACTGGCCAGCCACTCATGGCCCAGTGGCCAGCAGGCCATGGCCCGGTAGTGAGCTGCACCTAACGGCTTGGGGACCCCTGCCCTACAGACTCCTCAGTGATTTAATTTGATCATGTAATTCCAAGAAATACCAAGGATGTCTAGGAATCAAGTGTTCTTGACACTGTTGAATCTAGGAGAATTTTCTGGAAGGAAACTATATTATAGAGTTAGTATAAAATGGATATATGTGGGTATTGTACATAGAGTCATAAATTCCTAAATCCCACTTTAATAACTCAATAGCATTCATATCATGCTATTCCTACCAAGTACAATGCATATGAAGTTCTATAAAGAAGAAAAATATTAGACTTTCAAAAAAGATATATACATTAGCATATGAAGGCAATTCAAACAAGTCAGAAGTAATAATATAGTCATGGGGAAAAAACTGGAATCAACAGAAGAATAGTAAAAATGCAGAGCCCTGGAATATACTGATGGTAAATGATATTTTCCATACACACATTCTGTTGTAACCTCGACTGCTGAACCATCTGACACAACTTTGTGTTTTCTTAGAGGTAGTGACAAGCTTCTAAATAAAACAGAGATTTGTGGTAACTTATTAGATGTTACCAAAATTTCCCAGAATGAGAGTGAACAATTTACCTTTGGATACTGAAGCAGAAGGTAGCTATTCTTGGCTCAAAGTACACAACCACACAATATGTAGCAGCATGGCACTTAGTAACAGTGGTAACGCGACTATATAGGACTTATAGACCTTCATATACAAATATACAATACAAAAATCAGTCCTTATACAAACGTTTTAATATGTAAAAAAATATGACTTTGCTATTGCCTTTTCATGATTCAGCAAAGCAATACAAAATGTGGGATGAATTCAATACTTAGCCTCTTGGGCATTTTATACAAAAAAAAAAGATCAATAAATCTTTTTTTTTCAAGTTTTAGCAGTATGATTACAGTATTGCAGGAAGGATATCCAAGTATTTTGCAGATTTTTAAGGAACTTTTTGAAGTGATATGGAACTTAAAGTTATTTAGACGGTTTTACACACACACACACACACACACACACACACACTTCTGATATAAATTGAAATGATTCCTCAACTTAAAAATAGAATGAAATTTTGGTATAATGTCTGTCACTGCTTTCTTTCCTTCTTTTTAGATCTCATATCTCTGTAATAAATCTTTCTAAGTAAAATGGAATTTAAATGATCGAATGCTTTGCATGGTCTCTACGGCATGGATAAAACAAGGCGTGCAGCACTTCAATTACACATGGGCAGCTATTAAGCATTCCAGGCTCTCTTACCATCAAAAGGAAAAAAAATGTATGTGAAAAAGAATCTTTTGAAGAAATTAATCCACACTGAGCTTTTGGAGTTGGAATGTCGCTGTAGAGTTTCAAAGAAATCATTTCATACACATGGGTTTAGTATTCTTAAATAGGAGATAAGGAGGAATATGTGTCAAGAATCCATGAACTTATATAAAAATATAAATAAGCATATTGATTGATTAAAAAAAATCATTGTACTGTAGTAGCCTTGATTTCTCTTCACAACACCTTGTGAGGTAGGTGTTTGAGAACTGAGAACTGCTCAAGATCACAAGAAATGTCATTGCCCAAAACTATATTACCTGGACTTAGACACCACTCTTAGTTGTGCTCCAAAAAAGCGATATAACTTAAATAAATAGATGCTGAGAAAATTGAGACCATGACAGAACACCTGGAGGTTATGGAGGCATTCTGCCATACGGATTGTCTCTGAGCTTCAGACTTACTCAGTCCTCTTCTAGAAATCAAGAGCAATCAGGATCTTCTTAGCACATCTCTAAGTGGCTCATTTGCAATAAATCTTCAGCCATGCAAACTGTATAGTTACAAGACTGATTTGTCTGGCTGTTACTGCCCCAAACGATGGGTTGCTTTAATAGTAGCATTTATCATTTAAATTCAAGTACTAGAGACATTATCCACAAAACCCAGAGCAGTGTTTTCCCCTCCTAGCAGAACTTCATCTTCTAGCACAGGGGTCTTCAAACTTGGCCCTTTTATGACTTGTGGACTTCAACTCCCAGAATTCCTCAGCCAGCATGCCTGGTTGAGGAATTCTGGGAGTTGAAGTCCACAAGTCATAAAAGGGCCAAGTTTGAAGAACCCTGCTCTAGCAAATGTTGCCATGTCAAACTTCTAAAAAAAAATCCAGTTAAAATGAGACCGAGTAAGAATCTTCCATAGCTGAGCACACACAGACACACAAACAGCACACAGCAGAACCATCACTTTCTGCATTATCACCTAAGGAGGATTGTCATTTAAATCCAGAGCCTATGTTGTGGAAGTCTGTGACAACCAGCATCAAGACAAGGTCCAATTAGGGTGTGTAAATGTTATTGTATGTTTCTTAGCCCATTCAGCAAATACTTTCTTTTCTGTGATGAACCTGTGGCCTCCATAGGGTGCATTTTCATGAAGGACGTACTCATCGCATTCACTCCTCCCAGGTTCATAGTAGTGATACGGGACTTTCCTAAAGCCTTCTGACCTAGAACAAAGCCAAAACACAGACATCCATGAAATACTCATTTTCCCCTCATGCCATAACAATAGAGACACCCTTCTCTGCTGCTGCCCCCATCCTATGGAATATTTTGTCCTCAGAGGTGAGATTGATCCATGGTCTTTTGGCCTTCTGGCATTGTTTCTGTCAATTGGCTTGGAGATTCAAGAATGGCACCCAACCTAGGGTGGTGGTGGTTGGTAATGTGAGGGTGTTCATTCTGCCTTATAACTCTCCTTTTAAACTCTAATTTTATTCTGTTCCTCACTCTAATTATGTCTCTTTTATAAGGCCTTGTGGTTTGGATTTGTAAACCGCCCAGAATCACTTGGATAGGCATTTGATCAATAAATATGCTATATACACACATCTATCTATTTATAACAGGGCTCTTCAAACTTGGCCCTTTTATGACTTGTGGACTTCAATTCCCAGAATTCCTCAGCCAGGCAAGCTGGCGGAGGAATTCTGGGAGTTGAGGTCCACAAGTCATAAAAGGGCCAAATTTGAAGACCCCTGATCTATAAGCATACAAATAGCTTTTTCTTGCCTGTAACACTCAGATATTTGGGGTAACACCCTTCAAAAGTCCAGAAAAGAATGGCCTGGGTGACTTAGAATTCTGGAAATAACAGGTCAGAACAAATGGGAAGCCCCCAGGTTAAGGAAGCCTGCTTTATCTATTAAAAAGACAAATAGGTAGACCTTGATTTACAAGCATTTATCTAGTAACTGCTTGAAGCAACAATGGCACTGAAAAAAAATGAGGTATGATCGTTTTTCACACTTGCGACTGTAATAGGTAAAGTTCTATGGCCTATGGTAAGGATGGTGGTGAGTTATGGTGGTTTCTATTTTATCATGCAGTATGGCTGCTAATCCACAGATTCTAGCTGAATTACACCTTGTAGTGTGACACAGCAAAGAGACAAGATTCTGACTCTGCAACTGCACTACAGAAAACGCCAATGCCAGTAATACTTTTCTTACAGCCTGATTCAAGGCCGGTGTGAAAACAGCTTTGGGTCTTTTATCAAAAAGGTATTCTCAAAAAGGCTATGTTTTAAAAAAAAACACAAGTCCAATTGATATATATTCTGGCTTAGCTGCAGTGTATTTGAAACCACAATAAAGTTAGTCTTTTCTTTGAAGGACTATGAGACATTATGGATGGTCGGTTTCCACACTTTTACCAACTCTGTCCCAATGAACTTCCCAGCTCTTTTTCTAAGGAATGGAAGTGAGGGAAGGCTTGGTTCTTTGAGATCTCCAGCAACTGAAGAACTGATAGCCCTCCCCCCCCCAGCATTGAGAAGTTGGCAGAAGAGAAAACTATCATTTATTATCTTCAAAATGCTCTCATGGGACTGGAGGATAGAAGCAGTGACAGTGTAGAAGTGCCTAAATCAGAAGCTAGAAATGTCTATGGAGATTCTCAGTCATCCAGGTCATGGTTGTTCCAAAGGTGCTTTTTCATGAGGCAACTGGACTTTCTTTTTTCTCTTTGAAGACGTTTTGCTTCTCTTCCAAGAAGCTTCTCCAGTTCTGACTGGATGGTGGGGAATGGAAGGATTTACACTCCTTGCAGACAGCTGGTCATTTGCATTCTTTTAGAGAGTTATTGATGCCACCTGAAGGCTTATTATCTGTGTTGTCAGGGTCACCTGAGTAGTGCAAATCACAATGGTGTCTTTGACCCACCAACAAAATCCCAACAAAACAAAACAACCACTTCATAAACGTATGGCACAATTTAGGAGAACAAACTCATCAGGACAAGATTCAGCAGTCCATCTGCATTTAAAAGAAAAAGGCCATTCTTTTGAAAACAGCAAAGTCTCCATTTTGGGCAGAGAGGACCACTGGTTTGAAAGAGGGGTCAAAGAGGCCATCTATGTCAAAATTGAACAGCCCTCTCACAACAGAGGGGGAGGGATATGACATCATCTATCTCCAGTTTACAACCCAGTTCTTTCAACAGTTCCTAGAAGGCTCCACACCCATTTGCACCACACAGATGACCCTGATGACACAGATAAGCCTCCAGGTGGCATCAACGACTGTCTAAACAAGGGGTGTCAAACTCAATTTCATTGAGGGCCGCATCAGCATTGCGGTTGCCCTCCGGGGCCCAGTGGGTGTGGCCAGGGTGGGTGCGTCCTACTGGGTGGGTGTGGCCTACTGGGTGGGCATGGCCAGCTCTACATCGTTCGCGTCAAGGGTGCCTGTGGGGGCCTGGGCAGGAGTGGGACAGATCTGAGGTCTCTGGCAGAAGAGGGTGGGACCAGGGCAAGCGCCAAGGCATGGTCCATTTCTTCATTCCTCACAAAGGGTGACACCTCCCCAGCATGCACCCAGGGGGCGGGGCCAATGTGGCAGGGGCTGGTTTCTCGCTGTTTCCAGATGGCCTTGTGGAGCTAAGACTGAATGTGTTTCAGCATAGATGGCCACCATAAAATTGTACATTGGCTCCCGGCTGGCCTGGGCCAGGGCCAAGGCAGCGGGGGCCATTCCCTCACTGTTTCCAGGATGGCTTCGCAGGCCACATGAAACTACTTCGCGGGCCGCATCCGGCCCCCGGGCCTTGCGTTTGACATGTCTGGTCTAAAAGAATACAAATGACTAGCTGTCTACAAAGAGTATAAATCCTTCCATTCCCCACCATCCAGTCAGAGCTGAAGAAAATTCTTGGATGAGAAGCAAAACGTCTTCAAAGAGAAAAAAGAAAGTCCAGTTGCCTCATGAAACAGAAGCTAGAAATGTGCTGATTAACATTTTGCACACCCTCACAACTGCTATCAAATATGGTAGAAGATCCAGAAAACCTTTGTGGGAAATAACTACATTTTGTTACTGTTCTTGAGAACAGTATCATCCTTAATACCTTTCAAATATTATACCACAGTTATAATATTCTACAATTATTATACGGGCAGTCCTTGACTTATGACCGCAATTAGGTCTGAAATCTCAGCTGTTAAGAGAAGCAGCCATTACGCAAGATGTCATGTGACTGTTTTGCTCAATGTCTGCAATCCTTGCTCACCCACATTGTTGGCATGCTCCCCACCTTTTGAACTATTCTGCAAATGGATGCTATTACCATGATCCTTAAAGCCTCCTTAAAACAGAGCCTAAAGAGTTGTGAGAATAGTGCCCACTGGCAGAATGCCACAAGATGGCCCGTGTAGTAGGGTTGTGTCTGACATGGGCTGAGTGCATCTGTCAAAAGTTGCAGATGAATGGAAAGGTACATGGTGCACTGTTGAGTCCTGGAGCTGGCTGAGGGCTCTTGTGTATGGCTCGGTGGCAGCAGGCTGAATCAGTGCAAGGTACAGCAGCTTCATTTGTCCTGGTACCCCTTGGAGGCAGTCAAGGGCTCCCATGTGTGGCTGGGTGGGCAGTTCCTGTCTATCCCATCTGCTTATGACCGACTCTGCCAGCTTCCCTGTTGACTTTCTGGGGAAGTCAACAGAGAAGATTGCAAATAGCAATCATATGACCGTGGGATACTTAGCAACCAGTAGCAAATGCTAACAGATTGCCAAGCAACTGAAATGTGTTTTTGTGTCCACAAGGAAGGGACAGTATGACATTTCAAGTGCTTTATGGGCCATAAAAGCACCCTTTCCAAGGCGGTCATAAGTCAACGACTACTTATAACATTAGAACAATAGATGAAGTGTCAGCACTAGATTTACAGAAAAAAAATATCCACAACATCTTAATTTGATCAAGCTCAACAAATTTAATGTTATTATTCCCTCTAATATTATGATGTGATGATGCAGTATACCTTTCTGAAACAAGGCCACAACAAATAGAGTTTTTATATATTTGGGACATACAGGTAAACTAGAAACAAAATTTATCCATTAAAAGAAATGAATATTCTCCTTACAAATACTTGAAAAAAGGCTTCTAAAAGCAGCTTCGACAAAATGATTTTATATCTATATCTATAGTTGTCTGTATGTCTGTCTGTCTATGAAACATGGCAATAAACAATAAGAGTTTTTATATATTTGGAATATTCAGGTCTGTGTGTGCTTTTGTGTGTGTGTGTGTGTGTGTGTGTGTGTGTGTGTGTGTGTTTAAGTCGTCCTCAACGTACGACCACAATGGAGCCTAAAATTTCTGTTGCTAAGTGAGACATTTGTTAAGTGAATTTTTCCCCATTTTACAACCTTTCTTGCCACAGTCGTTAATTGAAACACCGCAGGTATTACATTAGTAACCTGGTTGTTAAGAAAATCTCGCTTTCTCATCAACTTTGCTTGTCAGAAGGTCACAAAAGGTGATCACATGACCCCAGGCACTGCAATCATCATAAGTATGAATCAGTTGCCAAGCATCCAAATTTGATCATGTGATCGTGGGGAACCTGCAATGGTCATAAGTGTGAAAAATGGTCGTAAGTCACTTTTTTTAGGGCTGTTGTAACTTTGAACAGTCACTAAATGAACTGTTGTATGTCGAGGACTACCTGTACATCTATTACATTTAGATTTTATGTTTATAGATAAAATCTAAATGTAATAGAATATAGCATGGATGTCAAACTGCCAGCCTGTGGGTCGGATGCATCATGTCGAAACCGCGCCCACCCCATTGCCGGCAATGGAAAAAAAAAAGTTGCGATGCGTCGTGACACGTCATGTGACGTTGCGAGTTTGACACCCCTGGAATATAGTCTCAAAAAATCCATATAACTAAGCCAATGATCATAATACTTTTAGGCTCAAAAAGTAATTAGTAAAGGAAAGCAATGTTGGCTTCAATAGGGAATTATGAAAAAAATATAACATTTTGTTCATAGGCTACAACAGGCTTATAAGTGAGTTTATACTTTTTGTTCCTGCATATTAGGAAGGGTTGTTTGTGTGTCTCTCTGTGTGTGTTTATTATTTTAAAAATGTTCAGCCTTTGGGGAGATCACAAAACCGCTTTTATAAGCTTCATTCTTCAAAATGACAGGAAACTGTGTTGCTCTTTTTTGAGGCTTGTAATTGGCACGGAAGGGAGAGAAGGGGCCAAATTCCTAATTAGGGCTGAGTTCTTAATTCCTGGAACATAAGGAGACTTTGCAAAGAAGGATAAACAGCACACACAATATTTTTCCCTTTTGGACTTTCCTTAAATTGGATCTCACTTTATCACCACAAAGCACCGATTTTTGTAGCCAACTCTGAACTTGCGCTCTTTACTGTTATAACAGAATTTCCTAATGTCTACATGGTTTGTATCATAGGCTTCTAATCTGGTAGGAAATAATTGTGCACCAGGCTCTTTATTCAAGTGATGGCACCGTGAAAGATGGGAATTTGCAAAGTTTGCTCAAAATCTGCTCAAGAACAAATTTGTGCTTTCTAACCTGAACATTCCTAACTGCACAAAAATTGTGGAACACAATTATACTTTCCTATTTCCCTAGTTCAGTCCAACTTGGCAGAAAGTTCTTTGATGTTAAAAGGCCTTTGTAACATTGGTCATTACATTTTTATAAAATACTTTTATTTAATCAATACCGCATATCATACGGGGACTAAATATACTGTCAATAAAATGCCATGTCAATATAGTTTTGCTAGGCAGCAGCTGCCTAATGCATTTGTTGGGTTTATGATATTAAAATGAATTGTGAAACTTTGACAGGGCATTAGATCTGTGGGCGGATCAAAATAATGTGCTGTGATCTTACTTGCAGTATGTGTCATTTATCATTCCGTAGACATGTATTCTGTAGCAGGCATCCATCGCTAGAATTAAGGTGAACCAACCAGTGCTGAGATAGGAACCTGACTGGATTCTGTAGAAGAAACAATACAAAGAAGACTTCACTGAGAAATTGCTTATACTTCCTTAAAGACATTATTATTTGTTACATGAACAAAGACATTGATAAACTGACAAAAATGTCTAACAATTTTGACTTAGATTCTGGTGCATTTGACCTGCAAGGGTCAGCATGAAAAATAAAAGCTTCATAAACTGTAGAAATAAGATCTGGCAGCAAAAACTGTTTTTTTAAGCAAGCATAAGTTTATTTTTTTATTTCTGGAATTTGGGGATTACTACTGCTATAGTATGATAGTGGTATATAAATTGAGGATAAATGTTTAGAATGAGAATTTGGCTTCAGGACTTGGTTAACTGAACCTCCTGATTCCTTTGCATTTAAATTCTGAAATAAATAGAAACCAGTGTAATAATACAGACCAGCATAAATTAATTCTAGCTAGCTAAATCCCATTTTATTCTAGTTGATGTTGTACTTATATGTACTGGGGGTATAATGAAGCCAGCAAAAACATAAAGGCTATGCATGATCCCTTACTATTGCCAACTATGCTATTAACATAAATTTGGAGTAGACCTCCAGTGCAAATAGAATTTTCTCCATGAGAACTAGTAGCCTTGTTAATAGATTTTTTTCCCAATTATTCCTTGGTTGTTCTAAACACAGTCACACATATGGAATGCCTGAAACTGATTTTTGCCCAGACCTCAGAGAATCCTAATTGCTAATTCTATTCATGACTGATGTGCTAATTACTGCATTAAGAAATACTGCTTGTTTTTAAGGCAATCTTTTATTTTTTTTATATTCATATCTAGACTATTATCATGTATATTCTATAGGTGAATCATGCAGTACATAATGTAATAGAATTTTTGCTTCCTGTAATATGGAAGATATCCTTCTATAAAAATCTTTAATCTCAACTTTATTTGAAATGTATTTTACATATCTTGCTTGAAGAAAAAAAACCCCACTGATGTGGGTGAACTCTTGTTTTTCTTTCTTCCTCTTTCAAATCAGACCTGACTCTTACCTAAACAAATCTATCTATAATAATAATAATAATAATAATAATAATAATAATAATAATAATAATAATAATAATAATAATAATAAAGTTGGAAGAGACCTTGGAGGTCATCTAGTCCAACCCTCTATCCAGGCAGGAAATCCTATACCATTATACCTGTCTCTTCTTAAAAACTTCCAGTGTTGGAGCATTCACAGCTTCTGGAGCAGATTGTTCTACTGATTAATTGTTCTAACTGTCAGGAAATTTCTCCTTAGTTCTAGGTTGCTTCTCTCTTTGGTTAGTTTCCATCCATTGCTTCTTGTCCTGCCTTCAGGTGCTTTGGAAAATAGCTTGACTCCCTCTTTTATGTGGCAGCCCCTGAGATATTGGAACACAGCTGTCATGTCACCCCTCGTCCTTGTCTTCATTAAACTAGACATACCCAATTCCAGCAACCGTTCCTTATATGTTTTAGCCTCCAGGCACCTAATCATCTTCGTTGCTCTTCTCTGTATTCTTTCTAGAGTACTAGGCAACATCATTGGAAATGGTGTGTCCTTGCTTTCTTTCTAGGGCTGAGGGAGAGTGACTGGCCAAAGGTTACCCAGCCTGATTCTGTGCCTAAGTCATGACAAGAAGTCAGGTTTCCCACTCTTGATCTAGTGCACGGGTCTTCAAACTTGGCCCTTTTATGACTTGCGGATTTCAACTCTCAGAATTCCTCAGCCAGCGTGCCTGGCTGAGGAATTCTGGGAGTTGAAGTCCGCAAGTCATAAAAGGGCCAAGTTTGAAGACCCCTGATCTAGCACCTTAATCACTACATCTCATTTGTTTAAATGTTTAAAAGAAGAACACGCATTTCCATCACCTGGAACAAGAAGCTTTCATTGACTCACTGACACATTGTCAAATAATTCATGTAAATATAGGAGAATATACTGTAACTGTCACCGATAAACACAGATTATTATTTAAAATCCAATGCACCACATTCTCAGTAGCAGGTTAGACTTCAAATAAAAGTAACCATTAAGCATTTCCTAGAGAAGGAAAAAAAAAAAGATGACCGAGAAAGGAAATGCTGTGCTGTTTGTGCACAGCATTAACAGAGCTAGACAAGTCCATGTATCAGCAAGTTTCTCATTACAGAAAACTCTACCCAAAGCATTTACACATTACCAAGAAATACATCATTTTTTTTTGTTCAATTTCATTTCCACTGACATGATGAGGATTTTATCAAATCTGTCCTCGGTAAAGATGTTCCCTCATTACCAAATCACCACAAATATCCATTCTTATTTTAGAAGGAATTAATTCTGCTTTTGCTGAAACAAAGAAATTAATCGTACATGTTGACAATAGATCAGTTACCTATATAATTATGGTAACCATCTATAAAAAGATGGATATTGTTGTTTATGTTGTAGGAATTTATGAAAAAAACCCCTTACATTGCTTTTGTTGACAAAAAAAATTAATAGTAATTTCTTGAACACATGTAGGACACCTGTCATCTATCTAAGGCATTTATACATAAAAATTTAAGCTGACAACATGGTATTTCAATAGAATACTACAAGTGAATCCTTCTCCACTCTGATCTTGATGGTCTGTGGGGTGACAAATATTCCTGAAATGTTGATATTTTCTTTAATAAAATTGTGCATATTGATGTCTGCAATTATTCCTTCTCTGAAATAATTACTACTGCACTACTGTATTTGGTGGGAGGTGTCTTCACAATCTAGAGCAGGGGTATCCAACTTTGGCAAATTTAAGATTTGTGGACTTCAACTCCCAGAATTGGCTGGCTGGGGAATTCTGGGTGTTGAAGTCCGCAAGTCTTGAAGTTGGCAAGGTTGGGCACTCCTGCTCTAGACTCTTAAAAAAACAACCACCTACTAAGAAGTACAGTATGTCTCAGAGAGACTTACTTGGAAGAAAGAAAACCAGCAGGAAATTGGCCATAAATATAACTCAATACCAATAAAGCCATACTGAAGCCAAGCTATTTTTTTTAATGCTCACAACTGCCAGCTTTGTACCATTCTCTTTATCCTTGTCTTTATTTATCCCTTGAGTTTCTCCAGCCACTCAGAAAAGTGTTCCCTCTAGCCACTTGGACTTACTGTTAAATACATTCAGAGCTCTAATATAAAGCCTGGCAAGAGACTAGAGAACAGCTATCAAGTCTGATGCTTTGCATTTAGCTGTCTTTGTTTTAACCAGTGTCTTGTCTGTGCAATGGAAGCACCAACCTTAGGATCAGAGGATTAGGATCAGAGGATTGTGAAAAAAAGAGGATGTTTCTGATAATGAATGTTTATTGGGAAATGCAATATTGCCAGTAGCCTCTAATTTTCTGCTATAAACAGGGAAAACAAAAAGCTTTTTATGTTTTATATTGAATAAAAAAGAATTAATCAATATGTCATGTTTTATTTTAACACAATTGGACCTTTGTCTTCTCATCAATATACCCTTCTGACACAATAAGTAAAAATAACAAATTATCTGATACTTTCCCTAAGAAATGGAAAACATGACAAAATACAAATGCCATAGTTTAAAGCAAACGTCCAATTTCATTTGTTTCCGTTCTGAAGAAAGGAATATAATGAAATGAAAACAGATGGTTTGTAACACCTTACATTTCAATCTGAATTCTCTAAACGTATTTCTACCAAATGAAGAAGTTGGTATTGGAAGTGTGAAAAACAATCTTAAATTTTTCATAAAGGTCGTAAGTTCCTAGATACTATTGTCAATCTCTCCCAAAACATATTGCAAATAAAGTTACACCTCCTGTCCAAAGCTATAACAATAATATAAACAGAATATTCTACAGTTTCACTTTCATGGCTTGTAATAAAGAACCTACACTAAAATTACTTAGTGTGGGACAATTTCTTAAATGTTTCTAATATGTTTGCATGAAAAACTGCATGCTGAATTTGTGTTCACATTACATGCAAATATCATGTAACTGCTTCCCTGGAAATTTAATCATGTACATATAATGGGCCAGAAAGCATTGTTTTTGGGTAGAGTCACTATATATTCAGATTCTCCCCAGATACATCTGTGTTTTCACCTAATTGTTGTCAGGTGCAAATAACCAACAGCATTTGTTGTGTTCAAAGGACAGAAGAATTTATTATTGCTGAAGGTGGAGATTCGTTCTCTGAGCTTGTAGGTTTGTTTCCATTTTGTTACCAGTTGAATTTAGGGAACGTCAGTGTCAGTGTTCTTCTGTTTATAAGGGCTTCGTGTGGTCAGTAGGTCTTCTGATGGTGAGGTCACATTAGGTGAGGGACACATCAGGTCAGGGTCTTGTGATAGGTCTTGTGATGGGTCTAGTGATAGGTCAGGTATGGGTCTGTTAAGTGAGGATCTTGTGGTGGGTCAGGGATGGATCACCAGTTAGAATCTTGTGATGGGTCTTATGATGGAGATGTTTTCATTGGGAGGTGAAGTGCTGGTGGTGGGGGGCTTGCATGGATTGGTTGAGGGTCAGTGCTGTCTTTTGTTGGCTATGCAGTTGATTTGAATTCTGAGGGGCTTGTTGGCTAGGAATAAAAATTATCCCATTGTATCATAGCATAAAGTTTCCAATCCTGGACATTTCAAGATGGAGTGGGAGAAAGCAATATTCAACATTAAGGAGAGAATAAGATCAACCTTCTAGTTTGGTCTAATGATTAAGGCAGCAGGTAGAAACCAGGAGACAGTGAGTTCTGGTCATGAAAGCCCACTGGGTGACTTTTGGCCAATCATTCTCTCAGCCTAACCCAACTCAGAGGATAGCCGTTATAGGAAAAATTGTGGGAGGAAAGAATATTAGATATATTTGTCACCTTGAGTTATTTATAAAAATAAAGAGGGGAAACAAACAAATAATCAATCAATAAATTTTCTGATTGGTAGATGAAAGAGGGTGGCTAGAAACGTATCAGCACTGTCCGTTAGATGCTAAAAGACAAGATGCACT